CCCAAAGTGCATGCGACTGGAACCCCACTGCTTGCTTGGCTTTCTCTCCCAAGGACTCACGAGCATAGTGGACTGGACAGCTGGTGCATCCCCACCCTGGGAGTGTTCTTGGTTGGTCCAGCCATCACGTTACACCCTGTTGTCACAGAGCTCGGGTGAAAGGCAACAACTAGTGAGCTCATCATTGTTTCTTTCCATATGAGACTGACTGATCAGCCACCTCAGAGAAAATCTTTCTTAAGTCCCAAAGCTAGCTTCAATTTTTATGAGGATTGAGAAGAAAGAGGTCAATTATTTTAGGTAAATATTTATATACATAGAATAGATGTTTTAAGAGGTTCTCCACTTTCCTGCCTACCTCCCTGTCCAAAACCTTCTTATAAATCTTGGTCTGAAGTCTGGTACTGAGAAGTGAACCTCTAAAGGTTCATAGTGAATGTGAAGATGAGTGGGAAGGCTGCTCTAATTCAAGGTCACTGGGAGTAAGAAGGAAAAATCAGTGCTACATGAAATACTGTTGTGAATGGACATGTAGAAACCTGCTCAACTTCAGAGGAATCATTTTCATTAATCCAAACAAAATTGGGAGGAAGTGAATATTTGGAGACTTTTTTAAAAGCTGAAAAGTATTGTTATAACAGCAGAGTAAACATTGTTCAATCCCGTGCTATAGCCAAGGTACTTTATATGTTCAAGTCTATCACTGTGGTTCTTTTGTGTCAATCCATCTTGTTAAAGGTTTCCCTCATTTACTTTATACTTTCCATCATCAAATATGATGGCCTTCTTCTAGCAATTGGTTTCTCCTGATGTCAAGTCCAAAGTGAATGAGACAAAGTCTTGGCTGTTTACCAGACTTGGGACTGATCCATAGCTGACTCTCCAGCAGGTTTTCAAAGGCAGTAAATTGCACAGGAGGCTATTGTCGACCTTGCTACTATGGGACTGCAGGTGGATTTGAACTGCATAACTTTATGTTGGCAACTTAATTCCTTACCACTTAGCCAACAGAGCTCCTCTGGTGGCATTAAACTTTAGATGTTCTTAATTATACTCTTCCTGCAAATGTCTGATTGGTCTCAAGTATATGTCAGTCCATTCTTTGGTAAGAAGGGTAAGGAGTTGTGTTGCCATCCTAAAGACAAGTTGTTAAAATTCACCAGCTGCTCTAAGGCAGAGACATGGACAGTCTCCTCGTGTGTGATTTATAGCCTCTGAAAACTCATTGGAAGGTTAGCTCTGGGTCAGTTCTGAGTCAAGAGCAATGAGTTTGCATTTTGAGTCTTTGCCTAAACTTTATGAAAGGGGCACGGAGAGGTGAAGGGGATAGTAGGAACAAGAATTATAAGGACACTTGGATCCCAAGGGAGCTTCAGGAAAGATACTGTGAAAGGATATACACTAGAATTCAGCAACCAAAACCAAGCTGGCCTGATTCAGTTTGCTAGGATTGTTGTTGTTGTTGTTATGTGCCGTGGAGTCACTTGCGACTCATAGCGACCCTATCTACAACAGTCCTAAACCCTGCTCTATCCTGTGCCAATCTCACTGCCTCTGACACACCCATCTTGATTACCCCAGTCACTGAATCAATCCACCTCATAGAGGGTCTTCCCCTTCCGCGCCGTCCCTCTTCCCTGCACGATGTCCCTCTCCGAGGACCTCTCCCACTTTACAACATGTCCAAAGTATGTCAGACGAAGCCTCAGAATCCTTGCCTCCAAGGAGCAGCCTGGTTTAACCCTCTCTAGGTTGAATCTGTTTGTTTTCTTGGCAGTCCATGGTACATTCAGTACTCTTCTCCAGCACCACAGCTCAAAGGCATCAATTCTCCTTCTATCCTCCCTAGTCATTGTCCAACTCTCTGATCCATAACAAGTGATTGAAACAAGTGCCTGTATCAGACATACCTTAGTCTCCAGAGTGACACCATTGCTCTTCAGTACCCTGGAGAAGCCCCTAACAGCAGACTTTCCCATCACAATACGGTTTTTTAATTCCTGGCTACTGATGCCAAGAGTGTTGACTGTGGAGCCAAGCAGACTAAAAGCTGTGAACAATCTCAATATCTTCACCATCTGTCCTGATGCTGCCAATTGGCCCAGTGGTGAGAATCTTTGTTTTCTTGACATTGAACTTCCATCTATATTGATGGCTGTAGTCCTTGACCTTCTGCAACAAGCTCTTCAGGTCCTCCTCAGTTTCAGCAAGCAGGGTTGTGTCATCTGCATAACACAGATTGCTGATAGATCTTCCACCACTCTTGAACCCACATTTCTCCTCATAGAGCCCAGTCTCCCAGATAATCTGTTCTGCATACAGGTTGAAAAGATATGGAGACAGGACACAACCCTGGTGTACGCCTTTCCCAATTTTGAACCAGGCAGTATTTCCTTGCTCTGTTCTGACGACTGCCTCTTGGTCCAAGTATAGGTTTCTCATTAGCACAATAGTGTTCTGGGATTCCCATTCTTCTCAGAGTCAGCCACAGTTTGTTATGATCCACAAAGTCAAAGGCCTTTGCATAGTCAATGAAACACAGATATACATTCCTCTGGTATTCCCTGCTTTCAGCTAAGATCCATCTAATGCTAGCTACAATATCCCTAGTACCACGACCCCTTCTAAACCCAGCCTGGACTTCTGGCAGTTCTCTGCTGATGTGCTGTTCCAGTCGTTTTTGGATAATCTTCCATAGAATCTTGCTTGCATGTGAAACCAATGATATTGTTCTATAGTTTCCACCCTCTGTTGGGTCACCCTTCTTTGAAATGGAGACAAATATAGATCTCTTCCAGTCAGTTGGCCAAGTGGTTGTTTTCCAGATTTCTTGGCACAACTTAGTGAGCACATCCAGGGCAGCATCTGTTAGCTGAAATATGTCAATCGGTATACCATCTATTCCTGGGGCCTTATTTTTTGCTATTTCCTTCAAAGCAGCTTGAACTTCTTCCTTCATCACCATAGGCTCTTGCTCATATGTGATTTCATTAAATTCCTCTGTGTCTTCCAGTACCTTTTGATACAGTGACTCAGTATATTCTTGGTCTTATTAATAATTGAAATTTCTCCTATTTTCCCCCAATACACTAAGTTCTTCTAGATTTAGCGTGCCAAATTTGAAGTTGAGAAATTGGATTATTTTTTCTGATAGAAATCTTATATCATAACCAAAAACCTCCAGAGATGTTGAGCCAATTCTTACTCATAGCCATTCTCTATCAGCTTTCTGAGACTCTAATCTTAACAGGAGAAGACTGCATCACTTGGCAGATTCAATCAACTGACCTTTTGCTGGGCAGGCCAACACACCATGCACTACACTACCAGGATTACATATGCTGTTGTTATAAGTTGTTACATAAGTCAAAGGTGCCGTCAAGTCACCTATGACTTACAGCGACCCCATGAGCAGTAGCCCTCAGGCCTAGTTTTAATTATATTTTGTCAAATGTTGTTCTAACTGGTGTATCACTTGTCTGTCCATTTGCTGTACAGGGGTAGCTCGTAGTTGTTGTGTTGCTGAACACTGTGACACCGATGTGTCAAATATGATAGTGGTTACCCATGGTAGACAGTATTTGGTGGCACTCCCCAATGAAAACAAGCTTGGAAGCAGGAGTGGCATCCACTTCTGAAATAGCTTGCCTCTGGAAACTCTATCAACATGGAGAAACAATGAAAGTTATACAATTGTTAAGGTCTTTCGTTCATAGAGTCACTATGAGTTTGTCCACAAATGGATGGCACTTAACAATAACAACATGTCAATCTGTTTTGTTGGAAATCTCCCTCTCTTTCTCTTTGCCAGCATGGTGTCCTTTTCAAGGACTGGTCCTCCTGACAACATGTCAAAAGTAAGCCAGATGAAGTTTCACCTTCCTTGCTTCCAAGGACCATCCTAGTTGTACTTCCTTAAAAACAGATTTGTTTGTTGCTTGGGCAGCACATGAGATAGTCAGTACTCTTTTCCAACACAACAATTCAACAGTATCAATACTTTTCCCATCATCCTTATTTATTGTCCAACTTTCAGATGCATAGGAAGTAATTTAAAAAACCATGACTTGGATCAGGGGCACCTTAAGTCTTTAAACTGACATCTTTGCACTTTATCACTTGGGAAAGCTTCTTAACAGCACATTTTCCCATTGCAACACATCTTTTTATTTCTTGACTACTGTTATCCTAGGTGTTAATTGTGGATCCGAGTAAAATGATATCATTGACAAT